CGAGTTTTGCGAAAACAAAGCATGGTGAGCATGTACTTCATGATGCTAATGTGCTTCAGTCGACACGTCGTAAGCTCGCTTTTTTTTTACATCGCGATGTATTTCAGGGGCTTACTAGGGGACCGCGACCATTTGGAATGAAACGTATTCCAAATGCATTGTGAAGCGCTGATTGCAAATCTGCTTTCGGTTATCTGCTGTATGTTCTTTTGGAAGAAGTTATGACATTTTTACCACCAAAATATGCACGGTTTTGATGACAGTATTTATTAATGTTGTTGGAATGTTCATTTGCGCGCTACAAAAGATCGTCCAATCAAAATAGGGCTTTCGAGCTCAGGAGAATTTCTCCGATATATGAGTTTAAAGAGCCTGACTGCTGGAGATTCCAATGCCTAAATCTCATGAAATCAATGTAGAATAAAGATCATAACTTAGTTCAGAGAGTAGCACAGGGAACATAGATTTGTAATCATCGTTTCAAAACGCATCTGTTGCTAGAGGCCACGGTCACCAAGTGTCATTCCCTGGTAAGTAGTATAGAATTGCCCTCGATATCATCCCATATGTCTTCCCTCAACATGACGTGGATTACGTGGCTTGATGAGGCGCCGCCTCGCTTCGGGCACGCGCCACGTTGCGTGCGCATCTTCGGCGTGATGTGGCAACAAGAACAACATGGAAAAGCCTTGCGCCACGTTGGTTTGAGCGCCACGTCGCGCCAAACGATGCGCTCGCAACGTGGCGCGAGCCCAAAGCGAGGCGGCGCCTCATCAACCCACGTAATCCACGTCATGTTGAGGGAAGACATATGGGATGATATCGAGGGTACCTACGCGGGAACAACCCAGTATTCATTTGGTAAAAATATAAAAAATTTTTATTTTCGATCTCTAGCCAAAAATAATTTGCACCAGCTGCGCATATGAACTGAATTATAGAGTGCACAAGGCGCTTCCTACCTACCGTAATCAAAATTAGCCGTGGACGATAATGTCGACTGCAGAAACATGCGAAATTACGTCCAATCATTGCATTTGACGTGGGGAAATGTATTGCTTCATGATTTTGTGGTTTCTCTCTACTTTTTTTGATTCGTGCGCATCATTGCGTTCAATTGCTGTTTATTCTGAATAGAGTGGAAGTGTCGCAAAGCACGATTCTTTGGGATGTGACCGTATTCTACGTCTTCCCCGATGCGAGTCTCGCGAATGCCACAATGAAGATCGCGCTGTCGGGGACAGGGCATCAAATTTTGAGAAAGTTGTTGTAAACGCGATCTTGTCACATTGTTCTTTATTGAACCTTGCACGTGTATCGCATACTTAGTATTCTTTAGACCGGATACCTAACTGACTTTGACCAAAATGACAAATGACGACCAATCTTGACGAAACGTATCAGTATGATGATATGAAGATGCGATATGTACATAAAGGCAGCCTTTGAGGTTTGAAGGCAACGGATCTCGATTCAAGGAAGTAACACAGTCCCGTCTCCAGGGCATTTTAAGTGATACGACAAAGACGCTGTAGGCCTAGCCTATTCTGCTATTATTGGTAACTTCAGAGAACGCCGATACACTGTAAACATTTCTCGATGACACGTATTACGGCGTATTTGAGCGCTTAGGATGCTAACAGTACCGACAATGATTTCCCTATGTGGTATGACAGATGCCACTGCGGAAACATCAAAACGCAGATTTCGTAAGACTCGATTCCATCTTTTTACAATGCTCAGACTATTTCATCTTCTTATAATATCAAGGATATGCAGAATGAAAAGTGGGAAGGATTACCAGAACAGTAGTCTGTGCAGCTGCGCCTACACAAAGCAGAATACAGAATCAAATTTGATAGAGGATTATCTGCAAACTGCATCGAATATCGTTAAAGCATTTATATCTAGGAGCCAAGAAGTTGTTGGCAGAGACATCTGACGTATCTCCATTAAAGTTCTGTAGATCAAATAGGTGACTTCTTAGGGTCATTCGTTCATACTTGTCATACAGTGATGCAAAATGCTCTGTTGTCTTCCACGCTCTTTCATTTCCACTGTTTTCCATCTACATCCGCTTGGTGAAGGAAAGCAGGGAGTAATTCGTTGTAGATATTGGAGACTTATAGCAGTTTTTTTTTGTTATATGACTCACATAAAATCATAGCTGATAACCTCAAATTGTTCATCTACTCAACAAGAAAGCATCTGTCGGACTTTGTTTCTGGCTGATTTATACACTACCATTCCCGAGTACAACACACTGTTTCTTTTTCTGAGCTCGATAGCCTGAAAAATGTCGCGACCAATGGACTCGCTACCCTGATGATCCTCATTCGCGAGACTCGCGTCGGGGAAGACGTAGAATACGGTCACATCCCAAAGAATAGTGCTTTGCGACACTTCCACTCTATTCAGAATAAACAGCAATTGAACGCAATGATGCGCACGAATCAAAAAAAGTAGAGAGAAATAAACAAAATCATGAAGCAATACATTTCGCCACGTCAAATGCATTGATTGGACGTAATTTCCCATGTTTCTGCAGTCGACATTATCGTCCACGGCTAATTTTGATTATGGTAGGTAGGAAGTGCCTTGTGCACTCTATAATTCACTCGCATATGAATGTTTGATGAGGGGTCTAGGTCCATGACTGAGTTGGGCTCCGCAGATTGAACGAATTTGATACGAACGGGATCACGAAGATACGAATTTTTTTTGGACTTTTGTTATTTGAATTTTAGTTTTCGCCTTTGAACTACACATGATTTAAACTTGATGCAAACACAGTGAGGCTATTTTGTAAGGCTTGCTTTTCTCTATCGGGGTAGTGGAACGAAGGCCGCCAGTTTGAGCCGTCTTTCGCGGCCAACTGGTCCTTTTGCAGTGTTGTTGCATGTCGCTCTAAGACCAGTAGTCTGCAGAGACGGCTCAAACTGGCGGCTTTCTTTCCCCTACCCGCTTTTCAAATGATATCCCATCATGCTTCTGGGCTTTGCCTTGTTGCGATTTTATAACGAGGATGAGAAACGATTTTTCTCTTTCCAATTTTTTACGTCAAATCCTTCAGGAAGAATTCAAGTCCAGCAATGTCTCCCCTTCGTTCATTTTACGCCGAATACCTCTCGCGATTTCAGTCATTACGCAATTTGGCCATTTACCAGAACTCTTTAAACCCTCAATTCGCAGACCACAAAGGCTTGGTGTATTTAACTTTTGATAACCTATAGAATGTGCTTTTTCCCGTGTGCTCAGGTTAAGTTGGCGAGTTATAAGCAATTGGAGTATCAAGTTGCGTGGCGACTGAATTCGCGTGAAGTATGCGCGGGGCCTTAAATGCACAGCGCGACATCGCTGATCGGCCGAATCGCTCTCGATAGCAATGGAGTTGGCATGGCTTAGGGAAAAACGGTTGGCTATCTATAGCGCCAAGCAGCTAGCACTACCGGCATGCGTGATATTTTAGCATTCTAGAACTTGTGACCGTTATCGTCTTGCACAAATCACGTCGCGATGAATTTCCTGCAAATATGCTTAGAGCTCATTGTAGTTCGCAAGTTAACTCACCAAGGTAGGTAAGTTGCAACTTTTGGGACGCGTGAGTGCATTTGCTGTCTTCAAGTTGTTCAGTTCTGGGGTTCTGGGGTGGATGAAAATCATCATAGTACTTTTGTCATATGAGCAGATCGCTACAGAAATACTAGAAAAAATGTTTTTGCTTGGGTTTTTGTCTCTTTCAATTTGTTGATCAAGGTTACAATTTTTGAGTTTATGCTTTACTAATTACAATAAATTTTGGCGTTAAGGTGCCGCAAACATATTAGGCATGATTTGGGCTTCTTATTTTGCGGCAAGTTTCGATAGCGGTGAGCATTAATCTTCTTTCGTGCCTAACCATGTAGTAAGAAAGGTGGATTTTTCAAAGCGATATAAACTTCACTTTCTCTATAAAAGACGGTAATATATCCATTCAACCAAATCTGCACGGCAAAATGCGCTTCTTTTGGAAAAGGGGCTTGATTGGATTAGCCCGTAGCAAAATTCACGGCCTGTTATACTGGCTGAGACCCTTCAAAGCCACTGAGAGGAGAACTATATGCCGCTAAAGAAGTGATCTTACGCACAATTATGCAACAGACGACGCAGCCATACATACTACACCCATTATAGATTTGCGAGGGGGAGAGGGGGGGGGAAGGAAAGCCCTATCGGCGACACATAGGGCCGCATGCACTAACATCCCCGCGGGGAGGGGATCGCAGCTTAAAAGAAAGCTTTATATTTCGAAACTCCAGATACCTCGATTTCACATTGTGTACCTATCCATAAGTATTCCTACTACCTTTCACTATGAACATGCTGAAGAGGAGCAAGCAGCTGCACGAACCGCATTTTCCAACTTTTGTATGATCCCTGATGATCCCTGGCGCTTTTCTTCAAATTCATTTTCCTTCCTCCGAAGTTAACGAAAAACCTCCAAAGTTGTGCATATTATCTAACCCGACAGTGCTAAGCATGTTGCTGATAAGGACAAATGATGTTTTGAAGTTATGAAATTTTCGATGATCTACAGGTCGAAATTTGAGCTTTACCGAAAAAATCGACTTTTCGAAAACTCATTTGTTCTCATCAGCAACATGCTTAGCACTGTTTTGTTAGATGTTCAGCACAACTTTAGGAGGTTTTCGTTAACTTTGGAGAAAGAAAAATGACTTTAAGGAAAAGCGCCGGGGATTATCAGGGATCATACAAAAGCTGGAAAATGCGGTTCGTACAGCTTCTCGCTCTTGTTCAACATGTTCGTAGTGAAGGGTAGTAGGAATGCTTACGGATAGGTACATAACGTGAAATCAGGTATCTGGAGTTATGAAATATAAAGCTTTCTTTTGAGCTGCGATCCCCTCCCCAGCGGGAAGGTCAGTGCATGCGGCTTATAGTCCCTACTTTGGGAACAACGAGTACTGAAACTGGACTGATGGTCAAAGATCATGATTTAGGTGTTCTTATCGTTGTATTCGTCAGCTTTACGATATCAGTAGCAGCTCACCACACGCTTGAAGTGAGAAGCAAGATTTAATTTTTAAAATCTTGGCATGGGATGCACAAGCCCTTTTAGGACTATTTCATGAAAAAGGGTGTTGTGCCAGCCCTCATATGTGTTATTGCATGCTATGTATGTATACTTGGCTCCAAGCAAATCTATCTTCATGCTCCACCATTAGAGAGCATCAACCCGAACACATCAAGTTGTTCTGCGGAACCGGCATCCTCAACTTTATCCAAAATTTGAATAATACTTCCATCTTTTAGAAATTGAGTATGCTATTGAATGGAACATCAGAGAGTTCAGCAGAAGAATTGATTTGCCTTGCGGAGAAGATGACACAGAAGGATATGCCAAATTTAGCGGAGGAAGTCAATGGCGATGCGTTGCGGTAAGCATAGCTGGTGCAGAGTATCAAGGGCAAAACGGGCAAAAAGGTGGTGAAGGGCAAGAATTAAGCATACACTACCTTATCATGTGTCAGTAACATTCTGTTTATTGACATGAAATGTGGAACCTGCATGCATGTACTAGTACTCCGTGCAAATGCAAACAGTTTCTCATCTTGGGCAGTAATTTTATACTAACTGACAAGAAGCAAACAAACGTGTCTTATGTGTGCTTCTTCTGCGCTCACAGGATGTCGTCCAAAAACAATCATTTTTCTCATGCAAATAGATACCTGTCAGACAATCTCATTTTGCCAAATTTCTAGCATCGAGAATCTGACCTGGTTTTTTGTGGATGGATTATTGTCAACTAGAGCAAATCTAGTTCGTACTCACAAGCAGGGCTCGGCACGAGCTGGCGCCAGAAAAATTTCAAAACGAAGTCCCGTTTGATCTTGAAAATTTCGTACGAAGTCCCCTTTGACCTGTTTTGAAGACCAGTCATTGATTTTAAATTATGTAAAAGTATGTAGTACGGTTCTCAAGGATGCTGATTTCATGAAACAACTTTTCACAGCTTTCTGAGCTTTTTAAGTGATTGAATCACATCTTGAGAAACAGAAAAAGCCGATTTTTCGACTACGGAGCAGAGCAGACCGAGTAATTTTCAGATGGCTATAAAACGCTGAAAAGAAAACATTATGAAACTGTTTCTTCTCTGTATGTAAACTTTCACAGTGTAGATACATTTTATGTAATGAGCTATGAAAACTTATGTGAGCAAAGTGTCGGTGCCAGCTGAGCTGGCACCCAGCTTGCACGGTGCCAGCTAATTCAGAAAAAAGTACAGCACAGCTTTCATTCACATAAGTTTTCATAAATTTTTGGGCCATAATTCGGGTCCCCAACGCGCATGCACACACCAAATTGGGTGTCGTACTATTGCGTTTTGGCTGAAAATAACACCTTTGTTTGTTTGATGGATAGCATGCCGGCGGCATTCTTGCGGCTCTTTTCCGCCCAGAACCCCGGAAAAACGATATCCCCTTTTCGCCCTAAGAACGATATCCAGCTTGACCCGGTGCCAGCTGTGCCGAGCCCTGCTCACAAGGGAATGGTCAAAAAATGAATTGGCCAAACCAAACAAGCTGTACATCATTAGATGCAGCATAAAACGCTGACTTTGAATCTGTCTTTCTTATCTGCTTATCGCTTCTGTGAGAAGCTACAAGCAGTTTTATTGTGAAAAATCATACATAAAAACAGCGAAATTGAGCAAATTGTTGCACTTTTAGCTCAGCTTCAGGCTTTAGAAATATGAAGTAGCTTAGCTGCATGTTTTGGCCCAGCGTTACGGCAAACGTGGCTCTGTACGGCTAAATTTTCACTTCCACGCATAATTTCTTAACGATAAGAAAAAAAAATAAAATAAAGGCCTTCAGTGGCTTATAGTCGCCCAGAAAAACGATAAGCAGGTAAGGAAAACAGATTTAGAGTCAGTGCTTCATGCTGCATGGTGGCCACTTCGATTTCTGACCGTTTCCTTGTCAGTTCTTTTGACTTTTACATTTCTGCTCTTCAAGATTTGGGACTATCTTTTGGAAGTCTTGACTTACGAGTGGCCGCACACTTTAACAACTTGGAAGCTAGCAGTCAAGCTAGAAGACAATGAATTTTTAGTCGCTAACACGCTTTCGCACGCAACAGGCAACATCGCTTTTAATTTCTAATCGCTAACAAAAGAGGAAGTCTAATTTGCAAAGTTGGTGCGAACGCGGCGAAGCATCTTCTAAGTTTGGAACTATTTTTGGAATTTTACCAGCTTCATAGGCTACCAAGCAGGAAGGTTTTGATGCTTACGACGCCTAAGTACTGAGAAGCATATTGCATAAATTGGATAGTCGTTCAGTGGCCGTATTCATCAACGAATCCTGAGGGTTAAGCTTACCCTCCAGGGTTAGTTTAACCCTCAGGGTTTATTGGCTGTATTCATCAACCATAGGCTAGGGTTTACCACGGAACGCGATCTACCCGTATCGGTCAACGAACCCGTGGCTGTATTCATCAACCCTGAGAGTTAAAGGCACCGTCCACTCAAAATGGGGTCTATGAGATTTTGATTCCTAACAGTAGTGGGGCCCTCAACTGTATACTTATCCAACTTACGCTGGCAAAAGTTGCTTCCGAAGCGAGAAAATTGTCTCGAAAATCGCTCGGATGACAGATTCGCCACGTCGGCTCCTCCCCTTTGAGTGGGCGTGACGTTCGTTCCGCCCATCCGTGCGCGTCCAAGCAATCCCGTTCCGTCGAAATCGCTTTGCGGGTTCTGAAAACGGCGGTTTTTCGTAGTTTCCGCGGATTTCCGACTTGATATCCGAAATCAGGGGTATGAGAAGGTCCTTAAACGGCAAAAACATGGAGATCGAAATTTTGGGTGGACGGTGCCTTTAAACTAACCCTGGAGGGTTAAGGCGTCAGTTATGCGTGCACTGTGCAAACTCACATCACAGAATGCCTAAGTACGGGCTGAATTCACTTTATACTTCTATTCTTTCACTGTTATAGTAGTATAGTCAACGAATAAGCTTCTAACACTAGTTTTCTTAATACATCTCTAGCATACTTGTGCAGCATCCAATCTTACAGCGTGAGTTTATTTTCATGTGTGCAATTTTGCAGTGTAAGTTCTACTTTTGCGCAGTTCGTTTTATACCGGGCTTGTGCTACTCTTTTAGGGGTCAATGCGTGTTATTATAAAGGGGTTCTTCCTTTTGGCACTTGTCAGAGTGGAATGCATTTTTCCTCTTCGTATTCATTTGTCACCAAAGCTGTAATTCTTTTTCTCGCAAAGTCAGTGTTTCATGTACTTCGAATATAAACATAAAACGAAGTCGAAACTAAATACTATAACAACAACCAATACTAAATACTACAATACTCGTTGATCGTTTTCCATAAACTATTAGATGCGAGAATGTTTGTATGAAGTGTTAGGGTAGAGTTAACCTTGCTCTGAGCTAGGGTTGAATTGTTAAATTAACCCTGATTGAATCACATAAGTTTAACCCTCCAGGGTTAGTTTAACCCTCACGGTTCCTTTTTGAATACGGGTTAGTCGCTTTCGGGGTAAAATTAACGCTCAAGGTTAGATTTAATCCTCAAGGTTAGGCCTACCCTGTGTTTCATGAATACGGGATAAACGCTTTCCAGGGTTAAACTAACCCTCCAGGCTTGCAAGAATAGTGCATCAATAATCTTAATTTCTTCAAATTGCCACAGTTCGCGAAACAAAGAGTAGTATTAGAAGCAACATTTTTACCTACACTGGCCATAGCTAAAAAGCCACCCTAAAAATCACCGTAATTTGCTCTCTCTTGCTCATATTTTTCTGAAAAACCACTATTCTGTGCGCAAACTAACGTCATACCATTGACCAGAGCGGCTCCTGATTTCATGGATTTTGGCCGGAGAAAAATTGAAAATTTGAAAAAACGGGTTTCGAAGGCTGGTCACAGCTATAAAGCCACCTCTCATTTTCAATCAGTACTGCGTTTTTTGAACCTCAAATTTTTTGTACACATAGAACATCAAAACATAAAACATTTGTTACATTTGGAAGGGGTCGCCTTTCAAAAAGAAGGTACGTACTGCATTTTTTGCTCTAAAATGCATAATAGGTCACATTATTTGCAAAAAAAACTGCTTTTTCACTGAATTTTGAAGCACTTGTTTGACTCGGATGAAGGTCCTATGCTTTGCCGAGCCTTTGCAATGAATATGGCGAAAAGCGCTTGAGTTAACATTGCGTAGTCGCTGATATTGATAAACGAGCCTCAATCTCACCTCCAGGTAGACGAGTTTTCGAGCCGCAGAAATTGAGTTCTAATGCCCGAAAAGCTCTGTCGCGTGCTCAACACGTCGCTTGTATAACGACAGACTCGTGTGCATAGCCTGTACGTCATCGCAACTCTGAGGACTCTGGTTCCGCTTTGGACGCCTTTTTCCAAAAATGAGTGGTGCACTCCGTCTGATCATGATCCACTCTAACCACCTCGATCGAGAGGAAAACCGCTCAGAAGTTCAAAATCCTTATATTCCTGACAGTTTAGTAAGATCTGAATTGATGAGAAGTTCAAAGCAGTGAAATTTGAAGTCTTGTGAGATACATTGCGCACAACCGAACTGCAGAAAAAGCGTTCTAACTTCATTGCGGCAAATAGGTCTTTGTAAAAAAAACCTGGCGGCTCCTGCATGAGTACGTCGCTATGCAGACAAGGTTTCAACTTCCAACCAAAAAAATTTCGCGTGTTAGAAATCTAGTTTTGCGCCTCAGAAGCGCGCCTACACCTCGGTAAGATGAGGCTCGTTTACCAAGATTAGCGACTATGCAATATTGAGTCCAGCACTTTTCACCTCGTTCATTGCAAAGGCTAAGCAAATCCTAGAACGTTCATCCGAGTCAAACAAGTGCTTCAAAATTTAGTGAAAAGGCAGTTTTTTGCAAATAATGTGAGTTATTATGCAATTTAGAGCAAAAAATGCAGTACGAATCTTCTTTTTAGAAGGCGACTCCTTTCAAGTGTAAAAATGTTTATATTTTGATGTTGTATATGTACAAAAAATTTGAGATTCAAAAGACGTAGTACTGATTGAAAATGAGAGGTGGCTTTATAGCTGTGACCAGCCTTCGGAACCCGTTTTTTCAAATTTCTAAAGTTTTCTCCGGCCAAAATCCATAAAACTGGGAGCCGTTTTGGTCAATGATATGACGTTAGTTTGCGCACAAGATAGTGGTTTTTCAGACAATTATGAGCAAGAGAGAGCAAATTACGGTGATTTTTAGGGTGGCTTTATAGCTATGGCCAGCACTGTATATTGCAATTCATCAACGACTTCTCAGAAAATCATTGAAAGCTGCACTCATGGTTTTCGCGATGTCAATTTTCGCTATAATTTGTATCGATTCCCTGAAGAAGGGCAAGTAACGGATAAGTGATCGTACAGATTGCTATCTGAAAATGTTAGAATATCTTTTTCATATATTATCAAATTTCCCATTTGAATCTCTTAAAGCTCAAGGAACATCAAGCGGCGAGCA